TATGGTCTTTTTCTTTCTTAAAAACCGACGAATTTGGAACCTTTCAAACTTGTTGGTTTCTGGAGATGACAAAGGTGCTGGAAAAATTAATGTTTGGCTGGAGAAGATAACCGGAGACTCGCCGGAACTCACAAGAACGCCGGAAAACCGGCTAAACCTCTTATAGCAAGTCATAAGGATGTTTTTTGAACAATTCAACAAGTTCAATGGTAAAATATGAACAAAAAAAAATTTAGTGACTAAATGTGTACAAATCGAAAAATATGTTACCCTTTTAAGTCATTATCCCTAAAAACAATTACCACAACAAATCCAAACTTAGGAACGATATCATAAAAAATAATGAGCTTTGTATACTCTTTAAAGTAAACGCGTGTTCTCCGGTCGGTCGCAGATTCGGAGCACTATGCCCCCACTAGGATATCGTGGTGTCCCCTTATAGGCACCTTATAGTTTATTATTGATATATTTCTCTACGTCCAAATAATTGTTATCAACACAAACATTGTTTATTAGTTGTTACTGTTATAAGAACTTTTCCTATATAACGCTTTTAAATAACTTTAGTTCGATATAAACATGATAGTCAGTTATTCGAAGTTAAATTTCAGGAGCGTTTGCATCATTTTTAAAAAATGTAATACTCTCACAAAATGAAGTCTATATGTTTTATTATTGTTCAATAAAAATTATTTTATGACAAAAGGTATATTGATGTTATATGGTAAAATAAAGATTAATAACAGGTCCTAAAGGAGTATTTACTTTTTTTTTAGAAAATAAATATCTTTTTATATTATGTTCTTAAATATTCTTCCTATTTATATAAAACCATAATCATATAAAATCATAATGTGGGCTCCACGATTTTTTTGTAAGTTCTTTTAGGCTAAACAGAGTGGCATTCGTTATGAAACTCGTCAGGCTCGCCAACCATGCTTGAACACCGCCCCTAGCTCTCGCTAGGGGGGTCGCTACTGGAGGCATGCCAACAGTTTGACGAGAAAAAAGAGAAGGCCTTGGACGATTTTGATTGGGTGGAGTGTGTTTGATAGAATTGCTTCCTTCTTGACTCAGTTTAATTGTTGAATCGCGATGTGTAAGCTCGGAAATGGAAAATGGGAGAGTCTCGCTGCAAGCAACGTTGGGAGGAAGAAGATACGGAAATCTAAATTGGACAGAAATGGACCTCCAAAAATCCCAGACTTACACATCACACCCCCCATCTTAATCCCTCTCACAAACCAAATTTCTGAAATTACCAAAAGGACCCTACACTTAAATATTTATTGTTTGTGGTTTAAAAAAATAATTTTTGTTTAATATTTGTGAACAAAAAATGTTTATATATTAAAATAAAGTGAAATAATTAAATTAGAAAAAAAATCAAAAAAAAAGAGTGTTAGGAGTGTTATCACTCTCTACCAAATACTAAAATTAGGTGCTAAATGGTCAAAAATGATGTAGCGCTAAAAAATCTGACATGACAATGTGTTAGGAATGTTATTACTTCCCTTAACCTTAGTGTTTTCCATAGTAACGAGTAATCTACTATAATAAATGAAGATTTTTTTTGTCATATGTCACACTTTCATTCAATTTATCAAATGTCATTTTCTGGTTATTTTGAATTAAAATTCTACATGTCATTTTATGTATTTATTATTTTATTAAATTTTATATAATATTTTAATGTAATAATTACAATAAATATAATAATAAATGATATCAATTTTATTAATGAACTTATCTTCTAATTTTAAAATTAAAGTATTAGTTTCCTTTGTTTATTTATGTAAATTATTTGTTTAAATTTAAAAGATAAAAAAACATTTCAATTTTAATAATTTACTATTTCTTTTATTCTTATAAATTCAAAGTTATCATATATTTAGAATTTTATATTTAATTTTTTTTAAATAAATTACAACCAATTTTTTTTAGCAAATTAAATTTTTATTCAGCACTACACTTGACACGTGTCGCTACTAATAAAAGTCCTTTACTCATCATGTGACAACAAGCGCCATCTTTCGCGCCCAAGCCGTTACATCTAATTCCATAAGCCCACTCTCAGTCAAAGAAATATTATCAACGCGCCACTCTTATAGGCGCGTGATATTCACGGAGCGTGACCAATATATTCGCTCTTTGTTTCTCACCGCCCATAGCTTATGGAAGAGTTCGGAAGCCGTTGTTTCCTTTAACCAACGGCTGACGTGTTATAATTGACCATCTATGTCACACTTAATTTCACTTCTGCCACGACCTTTTGAACTTGCTATATAAACGGTGGCTCTTGCTACTCTGGGTTTGCCAAACTGAACACTTAAACTCCACCCTGATAAATTCCCAATTTTACGGTTTCTTCTTCCTTGAATTCGTCGGTTACTCTGCCAATTTAATGATGTCGTCCGAGAGAAACAAATCCGGTGGAGCATCAGTCATCCGGAGTAGTTTTCAGCGATCAATTTCACCGTCCGGTAGGTTTTGTTCCTCCACAATCTCATCGTCTTCCTCTGCTTTTACTTCTTCCATGTCTGGTTTCTCTTCCTCGACCAGATCAACGTCGCCTTCGAGAATCAGCGTTCGTTCCGGTTACACGTCATCATCCCCGTCGGTTCGGTTTTTGATCGGTCATCGTCACTCGTCTCCTGGCCGTTCGGTTGCGGCGTCGTCGTCGCCGAGAAACGTGAATCGGCGTTGTGATCGTAATAACAATACGAATAAGGCGTGGAGTCATGGATCGAAGAAGACGTGTCTCTGCTCGCCGACGACGCATCCTGGATCGTTTCGGTGTAGTTTGCACAAGAACTCGAGTACAAGAAATGGTAACGGTAGTCACGACAGTATGGCGTCGTATCACTCGCACAGATTGTACGCTCGGAGATCGGCGATGACGAATTCGCTTGTGAGAATCGGGACTGTGGAAGGTGATCTGGTGAAGAGAGCGTTGGCGGCATTGATTCGTCCCTCGTCGCACCAGCAGAGACGGCGGAGTGACTTCCAACCAAGGCCTAGTCGGCTCTCCGTTATGTCCAAAGCCGGTGATTGATTCTGCCACCCCTAGTACAATCATGAGTCACAAATCACAATTCACAACCAATTTTGTAGATCATTTTGATCCTGTCAGATGAGTTCTTTTTTTTTTTTCATATGTGGGCTCACCAATTTCCGTTGTAGATACATCTGAAAGAATGTTGGCGTAGATTGTGAAGTCTCCTTTAATTAACTGGAGATTCACATGATTTAGACTACTGTAAATACCTTAAACAAGAATTTTCAGGTTTTGAAATGGCTTTGACTCTTGTAGTATCTGGTTGTGATTTGATTATTGCAGCTGTTAATCGTCTTTGTGGGTCTACTTGAATCTGATTCGTGCCATTTCAAAAGATGTAACAGTGTTCAATTATTATTTTTTTGTTCTTTTTTATGATTTGGTACTTTTGTTTAAAGTAATCCATCTTCAATCACTTTTTAACCTTAGATAACGTGAGTTGAATCACAGTTTTTATGTGAACATACATAAATTCAATATTATCATTAAGCCTTTGTTATAACTTCAAAATCGTGTTTGAATTTCAATTTTCAAACTACGAACTGTGATGTTAAGTTTTAAAATACAAAAGTACTTGGTGTGTCTTTGGACTTTACAAATTGGAAATATTAAAGAAATAGATGCAGAGTTTTTTTAAAGACTCGAAACGTTTTGTCGTGGCGTCTTGGGAGGAAAAGTTGACCATCAATTTATGGACATGTGGCAGAGGAGTCCTTGTCTCGTGGAACTAATCAACCGTCGACTTTGGACTTGTTTCTAATTTATAAGCAATAATTTTTCAACACAGATGCCATTTTGTATACCTTTTTCTGCCTTGTATAGTTATATGCATTTTTTCCAACACATTTTAAATAGTCAAAATGTATTTTGAATTAGTAAAATATGATTGTAAAAAGAAAAAAAAAATCGTACGCTAACGGTACCATGTGACGACACTAGTCACAAAGTCACTTTAACATGAACATAAATTGAAACAACGGGACCGGTGAGAAAAGATGATTTTCTGGTTTTTATGTGTTAGTTTCTTTATTTTTTTCAAACACAATGATATGATGGATATTGAAGCTGGATTAATCACCATCCTTGTACCAAATTCAAAATCCCATTCATAACACGTTGGTTTTGTTGTCTAAAATATTCTATTTTATGCGATCGATGCAAAGAAATATAAAATATGATCATCAAGTCTTTTTAAACCCGGAAACGATTAGTTTTTTTTATGCTAGTGGGCTGTTGAATACCAAATTTATTTTCACACAATGTGTTTGGGGTTTTCGATGTGGCCCAGTTAAGGTTGTCGGAACTCAAGCTTAAATGTCGCGATGAAATAAAAATAAAAATAAAAATAAAGTCTATAAAATAAAATAAGTAATGTAAGCAAACATATGTTGGTATAAAAAAATGTTGTAAACAGATGTCTCTTCGTATAAAAAAATGTTGTAAACAAATGTCTCTTTGTTTGGTGGATATAATTGAGCTTACTTGTATTATAAGATAGATATTAATATAGGTTTGGGTACCGACCAAATACTTGGTGATGCTTTTGTTTGTTTGCAATAATTTAATAAAGCGCGTTAAAATAATCGTTTTAAATTCTGATTGTTGGTTTACTAGCAGCAAGAGATACACAGTTAAACAAGAAAGAGGAAGCAGGATCAATACATCAATTTATCCAACTAAGTCTATTCCTTCTAGCTCGATGCTTCTTTAACCAGTTGAATGCGAGCATCTGAAAGTCAGTCTGCTGTCTTTAGTGGGTTGCAAAGTTTTCCATTGACCAATCTAGAGTTACTTTCCTTTCACACCACCCAAATCAGTGTGTAACATTAAGCGCCCATAAGTTTCAATTTATCACCCCTATTAGGCTATAGGGACTAGGGAGTGATCTCTTTAAGTGACATGCTAAGAGGTATTATGAGTGTTACAAGTCATCACTGCCTAAAAGGTGTTAAGCAAGTTGCTAAAAATGAGGTGCTAAGTTGGTAGCGAGAGGAGATAGGTGAGAGAAAGTAAAAATGAATGTTTTGATTGACTGAAACTATTTTTTTTAAACAATTTTAGTTCCTATTTTTTTTTTTTTACATTTTAAACAATTTTAAATTTTGACAAAAAAAAAAAAGTAGGTGTTACATTACCGATGATGGGCTTTACACCTTTGGTATCTACAATGGTAAAGATGAGAGATGAAAAAGTGGAAGATGGCGTCATGACTACTGTGGTGTTATGTGAGTTTAGATTGAGGGTGGGGTGGTTGACCATTTTCTATTTATTAATCTTATTAAAACAAATGAAAATTTTTAAAAAGAAATTACATGAATGAAAATAAATTTCAATTTGGGGAGGGACTAAACTCAAAATGAAACATGGCCATAGGAACATTTTGTGCAAATTTCATCGTTTGGAATCTAAAATCCCAAAATTTTGCTAAATACATGACAAAATTTACAACTTTCTTTCATAATCGTAAACATAACATAATAAAAATATATAAAAAATGAATTAAAAAGGTATAATATTCTTTTCAACTTCGACAAAAACTTGTTCTACAACCAAACCCTCTAAAAAACTATATTTGCAAGTTTAAAATTTTTTGAACTTCACAAAAAAAAAATACAAACAAGAGGGACTAATTTTAACTCTACAATAAGTCAACAACACAAAATTTAACTTCTAGAATACATCAAATAGTAAACATTTTCAATTATACAATGAATACAATGAATTATTTCAAGTACATAATTTAAAGAAAAAGAAAATAATTCTTGTAACTTTTTTCACATGACTAGTTTGTCTCGTTGGTTGGAGATACAACACGAATGTTAACTAAAAGGGTGTTTGGAATTTCTTATTTGAAATGTTTATTGGCGTATTCCGGTTTGACCTCGGTAATAAAGAGTTTTTAGAGTTTGAAGAAAAATATTTCATTAACACTTATTAACTTAAATAATGAATTTTTGATAAGTCATTTCCTACTTACTTATTGACTTATTTAATAAGTTTTTGATAAGTTGCTTCATTTATTAACATAACATAAAAATTTGTCAAACACTAAAAATAACTTATCAACTATTTTTTTCATATCGGATAAACTAATCCATACATTATTCTTAAAACTTGGTTTTAACATCGGATAAACAAATAAATATTTTTACAAATAAATTGTAACATCCCTAAAAAGAACCACGACTAAATTTTTTATTTTTAAAATAATAATAACATCCATTTTTACAAAACTACATTCAGGGAAAACCATTTGCTCATAAACCATTACTTAGAAGTCTTAGTTATAATGAAGACACTGTGGAATTTCGAATCATAAAACTGTTGATGTGTGTGTATAGTCACGCCTTCGAAACCTGATAAATACTTGCAAAATAGTTAATCCATAATTGTAAGCACAAAGCTTAGTAAGCTCCTCAAAATATCGCATACAAAACAACATAATAAACAACTATGTGTTATCATCAACCCAGGGGACTTTTAGCGGTCCCAGTGCGCTAACAACACGTCTTGTGGATTAACAGCACACCTCACAGGTTATCAACAACCCTTGGGACTATCATCAGTCCCATGGACTCACAACAATCCAGAAGTTATCAGCAACTCGGTTCACATATTTCAACAATCGACAAATAAGACCTAGCTGGTCAACATGCATATACTATTACACGAGCAAGTATTGTGAGAAGACTCACCTTGCAAGTAGCAGCTAAACACCACAACTCTCACCTAAAGAAGAGTGATCCTACAAGGCACCTAACAACAATAAAGAGTACCCTCTCGGTCTACACTCTAAAACCCTTAGTTTGACCAAAAGTCAACCCATGCCGAAAGTCAACGGTCAATGTCAAAGTTGACAACCACAATACCAAAAACTAACTCTCATATCATGACCAGTCCATGGTCACGTCGTGGCCAACAATCAGTCCCGATCCAAAACTTCTAGATTCGACAACTCATTCGCAACCCAAAACCGCCGCCACATCATGACCAATCCAGACCAAAATAATCAAGATAAATCTCATTGTCATGTCGCGACCACCATATGGTCACGTCGTGACTACTATAGATTGGGACACTTAATGTATTTAACCCTTAACCCTTAAGGCCATTCATTCCAACTTTCCATAAGGGCCTTCTTACTCCGAAAGCATCCTAAAAATCGATGTTTTATAGACATTCATGTCTAATGCATGTCTTGATCTCATAAAAGGTCAAAATGAAGAAGAAATGAAACCACGCTCACATGAATGACATCAAAACTCAGCCAAATCTCAAATCCATAAAATACAACATTCAAGGGACCATAAGGACCCGTAAAGTTGCCAACTTTATGGAATCCTCCCATCCAAACTTCCACAATATGAAGAAAAAGGAACAATAGGCCTAGATCTAAAAGCTAACATCATAAAGTTTGGATCTTGAATACTCACAATGCTCCAGAAAATGGCTCAAACTCAAACTCCAAGCTTGTCGTCTTCTACACCACAAGGGTCTTCTTCTTCCTTCCAAGGACACCAAAACTCCAAGAATAAGCACAAAAATGAATAGGAGGCTATTAGGGTTTAATCAAAGTTCTAAAGGGTGATGGAGGCTGGAAATGAAACCCTAAATCCAATATTAGGGGCTTAAATATGAAGGAAACCTTAAAAGATTATGGGCTTGGGTTGTAGCCCTTGTCAGTTCGTGACCATACTAGGAATGGAAACGGGGTTGGGCAACATATCCCATCCCCGAACCTGATATTTAAATATGTGCCTGACCCCTACCCGATACCCGACGGGTTTCTTATCGGGGCGCCCCGTCGGGGCTGAAACTTTCCCCGAACCTGACCCTAAATCTGAAACCCGATAACAACCCAAAAACCCGAAATTTGGCAGAAAAAATGGAAAAACTAAAATTACAGAATGAGAAATTAAAACGTTACATATCCTTAAAATACCAAATAAGTTCTTAAATCATTGAACCAAATAGAAATTTCTAATAGTCTAATATGT